AAGAAAAGTGAAAGGAAGTATTAATGGAAGCAGTAAATAGAGATTTATAAAACAGACAGATACCTCCATAAGAAGAATGAGAAGATGATAGAAGATTTTTTGGAGGTCTAGAGAGTTCAAGGAAGCTGTAACCATCAGGAGTAGCAAGAATAAGAGAGGGAGAGTTAGAGTCCTCGTGCCAAGTTTCAGTAAGAGTAAAAAAATCAGGTAAGGAGGAAGAGATTATTTGATGGATATAGAGCGATTTTTTATTAATTGATCTTATGTTAATATTAAACAGTGAAAATGTAGAGGTAGGTTGAATATTGGTATTTTTAAATCTAGTTATATTATTTAAACTAATAGAATTAGAATTATTATTCTTATCATTAGTATTAATTACATTAGGATTAGAGTAGGATTTAATAAAATTATTATTATTCTTATTATACTTGCTAATAACATTATTATTATTAATATAATTATGGTTACTAACTATATTTATTTTTTTGTTAGAGTTAGATTTATTATTTTTATTGTTATTATTAGACCTAAGATTAAAGTAAAAAATTCGCCGCCGAACTACTCTCGTCGGAGACAAAGGAGTGTTAGAAAGGCTTAAGAGAAAGTCTCTAGAATAAGACATAACAATATTTTCAAGTTAAGGAAAAGATGTTGAAAGATATAGAAAAAAATAGTCATAGTAAAAAAGAAGAGAACTCACTTGTTCAGAAGCAGAAAACAAGAATCCACCCAAATTAAAAAACCACCGAGAAAACGTGCCGCCATCACGCTAAACGTAAATCTAGCTTGTGGTGAGGGTATGATGATGATTATGATGATGATATTGATAAGGTGGAAATCATGATAATGAGAGTCAATAAGGATGATAATAGCGATGATGATGATAACACTGATGGTGATGGTAGCGATGATGAATTTGATAATTATCATCTGTTTCTGGTGGTAAAATGGCGTTTTCGTTCGTGTTAAATGATGATTTTGGATGAAATATAATTTAACAAATAGCTGAGATGATGGTTGTGGTTGAACAGGCAAAGAACATAACCATAAAAAAATTTAATTAATTGTTTTTTTTTATCAAAATCAATCGTATTGTCAATTCTTTCTTTTAATTTTGTGTACTTTTACTATTGATACTACATTTCATTCATGAACTCCATTGTAGCATCATGCTTGGTAATTCAGACTGTGCATAATATGCAACCTGCAACACATCATCCAAATATTCAGCTTCACTAAAGGCTAAAGTTTTTTATGATCGATCTTCGTCTCATTTCTTCACATCTGCATCTCATTTTTTCATATTATCATTCAAAATTGTACTAAACAACAGCCAGTTATCTCCAAATTAACTTTAAATCAAAATGTTACATCGACAGAATGCTTACCTATTCAAATATTTTCTTCACGATGTCGTGAGCATTCATTTCAAATAACGCTGCAGCCATATTGGCTATGATAATTCCACTTGATAAATCATCTTGCGCCAAACATTTAAAAATATTTCTTCTTCAATTGTTACCTGCAGAACCTGCACTCAAGCTCTTCAAAGTCGTCTGTTGTAGGTACATCGTGCCCAATGAATTTTTGGCTTCAATGTCACCATGACAACAAAAAATAATTTATCATCCACGAGTTTAAAAATTATTGTCTATGAGGAGAATTAACTTGAATTTTTATGGTTTTTCCCCGGCAAATTTGAAAATTTTTGAGATGTTTCTTTATGAGTTCATTCCGGATAAAAATATTTTCCATACAAGCATGTTGCATGATTATTTCGTTATTAAGTATCGATCACTCTTAAAATTTTTGTCAAACTTTTCAGATGTTCTTAGATGTTCTTGAATTTTTTATCTCTACGCTTTCCCTTAATATCATAGTATTTTTCATTCACATTGAATTAATTTATGGACGGTTTCACATTTTGCGAATAATTAGAATTTACGTCTCAACTTGACATTTCATTTTCATAGCAGTTTTAAAAGATAAAATTTAGTTTGAGTGCCTCAAAATTTGCATCAGGTGCACCAGAAATGAAATAAAAATAAAGAAGGACTGAACCTGAGGTACATTATTCTCATCAACTTCAATGACATTCGACGACTTTCTGCTGTCTGGCTGACTGCTGCACGCTGCTGAAGCTGCTGTTAGTAATGCTGTCGTCGCAGCCGTTGATGCTATTGATGTAATAGGTTGTTGTTGTTGTTGCGATTGTTGATAATTTGGCAACAAGTGTTGTTGTGAAGAATGAAGTGGTTGGTATTTTGGCGGTTGTAACGTCGATTGTTGAGGAAGTGCTAGCTGCTGTTGCTGTGGCTGCAGATACTGTTGCTGTGCTTGCAGATTTTGTGGTAGATGTTGTTGCTGCTGAACTGGTGGTTGCGTTTGTTGAAGGTTCAGTGTGGATGATAATTGTTGCTTCTGATATATCTGATGTTGCTGAAGTGGAATTTGTTGAATTTGCTGTGGTTGTATCAATGGTTGCTGCTGCTGTTGCGGCTGCTGCAAGTTCATCGGGTTGCTGAGTATGAATGACGAGCAGCTGGATTTGTGAGATCTTCGTCGATCCATAATGAAAAAGAACAAATGACCGGGCTTACGATGATGACGATGACGACGATGATGCTTGCTTGTTGATATGTTTAAAACAAAGACAATGACGAAAGCGTGACGATGACAACGCAGATGTTGCTTATGTTGATTTTAAGTCATTCGTATCGACGTTTAATTGGCTTCCATGCGATGATGCGGTATCCACGGGAGGCTGTCATGTAGACGATTTCTGGAATTTGATAATTTATTTTGCTGTTGTGATGGCCATGACTGATACAGGATGGCGCTATTTATAACAAACAACATTTTATCGCATCAAATACTTCAGACACGAACAGGGTCTAAAATTTACACAATGTTGATGTGGTGCAAAGTTCTAAAAATGTTAAAATTTTGAAATTCTACGAGGACAAAGAAATTAACTGGATGTTAGCCAATGTATCCAAACTTAGACAGGCGGCCTAGATCCGCCACTGGCCCTAAAATAAAAATTGTAAAATGAAATACTGAATTTTCGCATAATTAAATTACATAACTAGGTATGTATAATTTCGAACAAATTCCCTAAACTTATCAAATTTTATTAATTTTTTCATTAATAACATAAAACTTCACTACCATTTAATACGATTAACTCAACTCTTCAGTGTGAAAACGTGACCAGAATGGAAAACTGTGGGGCGGGTAGTCCCCATTAAAAAAATTTGGCTTGGTGTCTTTCAATCATTCTCCACGGTACTAATAAAATTAATTAGCAACATAGAGTTGTCCAGTTTGGCTGAAAATAGGACATAGCCATGATATGATATAACAGTTATAGGAACTCACAATATGATCTGGCCACGCTGCTGATAGGAAAAACAAAATGCAATGCGTAGTAAATTCTAAGGTTTCACGAAAGATGGCCACATGCATGCATGTGTTTGTGTGTGTGTATGTGTTTTTGTACAAACTGCTTAGTCTCAACTAAACTTTAAAAGTTGAATGAAACAAATGAAAATTAAATTAAATCAAAGAAACCATAATATTAGCTATTAATATTTACCGTTATGGTAGAAACAAAGTTATTTATTAATATTGACATTATTACTACTTCTTAGTTTTGCTAAAAATAAATCAACTGGTGACACCAAATGTTCTCGTTCAACAGCAGCGAGTAGCATCTTCTTGCGGTAGTATTTTCAACTTCTTTCTTCATTCTTGCTGGGAAAGAACCGCCATTCTGTCAAATATTCCATACTTTGGAATACTGTAACCGAACCGACTTCAATTTGGTTTTTCGTCTTTCGTCTTTAATATCTTTTGTGTTGAATAGTTGCAATGTTATATTTTCTTGCAGGATTTTTTGGAACGCAGAGTGGCCATAATCAATAGCAAACAAATCGTTTTGTAATTTAATAAAAACATCCTAAAAACAAAACCCTTTAAATATAAATAAATAATAAAATACATGAAACAAGATGTTTCACTAAATCAACAAGACAACCGCTGCGTCCTAAACTCAATTCTTTCAAAATGAATCACTGAATGTTTTTTATAATTACTATAACTACAAAACTTTCAACACCAAAAAGCAGCCAACATTAATTAAACAATGAGAATCGGTCAAATATATGCATGTTCATTAGCCAACTATTTCAAATTAATAATATACTGGTTAATAATAATAATAATAACCATATGTAATAATAACAACCCTGCCACACGAAAATCTTTAAATCAGCTGGAAATCGGCGGTACCGACAACCAGCTGTATAACTAATTTCGTAAGTAAACGCACGCCAACAGTTCAAGTTTTTGTTATGGCTCGTTTTTGTATTTAAAAAAGTATGTTAGATTTTACAATATCGAATCTAAATTAAGTTGCTTGTACAGATGTAAGATACTCCAGTGTAGTAAACAACAATCAGTCATTTTAACATTATGATCATATCATATTACAGACAAACGAACAATACCTCAGTCAACAACAACATCATCGCAGAAAGATTAAATTACAAAAATCATTGTATTCATTTCAGATTATGCTGGTATTACGCACCGAAAATATTTATTACCTTTTATGGTATTAAATAATGACGGTGGCGGGATGGCGTAATGGTTAAGGTGCCTGCTCCAGAGGTCGCACTGAGTAGGATCGAATGCAGAGCACGGATTGGGAGCACTGGATGTGGAAAAAATTTAATATGCTAAAGCCAATACTGAAAGAGTATCGCCGCGTGTGGCTATAGCGATACTCCGATGTTAACAGCCCTACAATTGTGTTATGACATATTAATACCCCCAGCCAGTGCATGTGGTGATGTGTGGACTCCTACGTGTTTGCAAGCAACGTGTGCAGAGCTAACGTGATGATGACGGTAAACGGTAAGAATGATGCTAAAGTTGATGATGATGATGATGTGGCTGATGATAATGATGACGCTGATGACGATTTTGATGACATTCAATTTCTACGTGGCATCTGCTTTTCTTGAACAAACTCTTTTGACAAACTCGCTTCATCTTTCGCATGTTTGTGCGGCGTCGTATGACATTTATACACTCATTTATGTCTCGCTCTCTCTTTCTTCTCTTCCTCCTTAATCTCTCTCATTTTTTACTTACTCTCACTTTTTTCTCTCTTTCTCTCCCTCCATCTCCCATTTTTTCTTCATTTTCTCTTCTTTCTCCTTAATTTATTATTATTATTTAATTTTTTTAACTTTTACTGTTAAAAATACTTAGGTGTGTGTGTGTGTGTTTGTGTGTTTGTAAATAGGTGTGTGTGTTTGAGTGTGTGAACTATGCATGTATGAACTATGTATGTGAGCCTTTACTACGTATGCGTGTGTATTTCTTGACATTGAGTGGTGTCTGTTACACTTTGGAATGGAGGAACAACTAGAACGTGTAAGTAAGGCCATCCGAAGAACTTTCTTCCTGGAGTGAATTCACTGGAATCTGTCGACTGTCTGAATGAACGTTTGACACGTTGCAAGTTCATCATCGGTACTGTCTTCACCATTTGCATTTTTGAGGTCTGAGTGTGTTTGAGTTTTCGCCGACAATTCTTACATGTGACTCTGAATATTTTTTTGGTATTTTTCACTAAAGAATGAAAAATTGATCTAAGGCAGTGCGGATTGATCTGGAGGTAGGGTCACAAAAATAGTATGAGGAAATAAATGAGTCCATGAATTATCGAGTTACCGTTAAATGGATTACAAAATTAAGTGATGGAGTGGTAAATTGGAGAGATGGATGAATGATGAATTTGGTGTATGAATGTTAGGCGGTCAGATGGATAGATAGATGGATGAATTGATGGATGAATGGATGGATGTATGTATGGATGGATGGATAAATGGACGGTTGGATGGATAGATGGATGGATGGAGGAGTAGATAGTTAAATACGCTGATGAATAGTAGATAGCTTGTAGTTAAAAATAAATTGTTCACAAGTACGTTAAATTAAACAATTTGCAAAAAACTCAACGTTCGTGTGTGTAATTATAAATATTTTTTTCGCTTCATTCAACGTGGCAGTTTAAATGATGAATAAATTTGTTGCTATATTTAACTCGCGTAGTTTATTTTTAGACGAATATGATTAACACGCAAACGTAGGGGAAGGTTGAACTGGCGGCAAATGAATGAATGAAACAAAAGCGCGGATGAAAAGCAAACAGGACGAACGAACGAACGGACGAGCGAACGGACGAACGGACGAACGAACGAACGAACGAACGGACGGATGGACGAACGAACGAATGCGATGAAGACAGATGCACCAGACCTATCCCCTCTCAACGACTTGATGACGTCTCAAGCAGGTATGTTTGTGATTTCGTTCGTTCCTTCCTTCTTTCACATCATTCTTTCATCATCAACGTCATCATGACGTCATCGTCATGTCATCCTCATCATGATGTCAGGTTTTTTATATCATCGTCAGCAACATAATTTGCATATTTACCATTAAATATATTTTCGGTTGAACTCATTCATATCTATTTGCTTATTAGTTTATTGGTTTATTTATTGATTTATTCATTGGTTTATTCATTCATTCAATCATTTTTTCATTCATTCATTCATTCATTCATTCGTTCGTTCGTTCGTTCGTTCGTTCATTTATTCATTCACTCACTCACTCACTCACTCACTCACTCACTCACTCACTCACTCACTCACTCACTCACTCACCCACCCACCCACTCACTCACTCACTCACTCACTCACTCACTCACTCACTCACTCACTTACTCACTCACCCACTCACTTATTCATTCATTCATTCATTCCATCATTCATTCATTCATCCATCCATCCATCCATTCATTCATTTACTCATCCATCCATTCATTCATTCGTTTATCCATTCATCCATGTCTTCAATTCTATTCCTTAATTCATTTCTTAATTAACTCATTCATCCAAGACATAGCATACTTACAAATGAGTTTACTATGTGAATAAGTAGTTTTTTAATGAATAAATGAATGAACAAATGATTGAATGAGTGAATGAATGAATGAATGATTGAACGAATGAACGAACGAACGAACGAACGAACGAACGAACGAACGAACGAACACATAAATAAACAGTGACAAAAATATGACCGATTATTATTATTATTATTGTTATTAACATCACTATAAACCTATAATCATTATTTATTATGAATATATGATTATTAACATTATTATTAGTAGTATTATTATTGTTATTATTATTATTATTATTATTATTTATTAGCACCATCCCAGCCACCATGCACACATCTATCTTATCAAAATCAATATACTCATTATTTTTGGGCTTCCATTAGATTTTATAAAAATCATCATCGTCGTCGTCATCATCATCATCATCATTAACATCATAAACATCATTACAATTATAATCATTATCATCATCGTCACCATCATCATCGTCATCATAATTAAAATCGTCATCATCATCATCATCGTCATCATCATCGTCATCATTATCATAATTAACATCGTCATCATCGTCATCGTAATTTCT